GCAATAAGGAGAGATTCTTTTCCTTTATATTGAAGCACCAATTATAATGGAATTTAATTGATAACTCCATATCTCTTTATCTGACATCTCTTTTTAGATTTGAATGTGAAACTCTCTAATTTGAATATGAAAATCACTTTGTAGTTGGAAATTAAACCATAACTTTGTTCAAAGAAAAATTGGCATGTAAAGCTTTATTTTTGAAAGAACCTTATACTAGTTCTTGAACATTAAACAATATTCTGACAAAACAACATTATGATGACTTGAATACAAATGAATCAGAAACATACGGACTGAATTTTCCTTGACATAGAAGCGGGTTTGAATAAAAAGGAAAAAAGTCATTGGCAAAAATCATTCTGAGTATTGCCAAACCTGAAATGTCTGAAAACATAAGGCTTTTAAAAAGACATTCTAATGAACTCAAAAATACTATCTTTGTTTTTCCATCCTTAAATTATTCTATAAACCCAATACTGAAAAAAGAATTACATTACTTGGAAAATTTAAACTATATACAGCATCAAAGAATGGAAAATGACAATGTTTCAGGGAACCCCAAGTTATAAAACCTCTACTAAGTTGCTATCTGTATAATAAACTGTGTGTATGTTTACAGGGAAGGTCATTAAATTTATTAAGAATGCTAATAAAGAACTAATAAGCCAGGTAATTAATATAGTTTTACAATTCAGAGAAATGAAAATCTTTCGATAAAATTTAACCCAGATCTAAGAAGTTGCTACTAAAGAGAAAAACAGTGCCTATTTTATCATATAAGTTCATTAACTATCATAAAAGAGGGTTTGAGAAAGTTGAAAACAATTTTACACAATTAGACTTTTCTGGAATCTGGATTTTACCATTAAGAGAGAGCAACTTTCTTTCCTATTTGTTTGCTCTATGTTTTTGCTTTATTTTGTTGAAATGAACATATGGATCTCAGAATTTTTTTTTAAAAAAATCAATAAAATATCCTCAAACTCTCTTGCCAAATAAATTTCAGTTCGCTTGTCAAATTTCTAAAAACAGTGTTTCATAAGCTGACATATTTTCCACAGGCACTCTGAGGAATCATAAGGCTACTTTTGGTTTCAACAGCCTTTTGATTTCCAAAATATATTTAAGTCTCTGCTATTTTTTTTTTTCTTCACAGAGGTAGGACTAACAAATGTAATAATATACATAGCTGACCCTTCTCCCACCTTATGATTGGAACTGTACTACATTGCGGGTTGCTTCACAAAATTTTGCTTCTATGCTACTTGAAGTAGATTTGTTTAACACCCAAAATTCAGAATGTCTTCTCGGAGTAACATGTCCAGATGGAAGATGGCCTGTAAGAACTTTAAATCACAAAATCATTCAAAGATTGTTCAAAATGAGGTTTTAAAGCCTGCGTTCTGCATCACGCCAGGTGCTGAAGCTACAGTTGTGAATGAGAGCTGTGCACCTGTGACCTCAGGAAACACATTTATTCAAACATGTAATCACAGCTGCGTTACTGTGATTGCTCAAAGTAGTAAGTCTAGTAAATGTCCTTAATGACTCGTGATGAGGTAACAAGAGTATATTATACTTCATTTAGGTTTCATGGTCTTCCCATGATTTCCCTTAGGTCACTTTCCTAGTAGCATCCACCAAAAAGTTCATACATGAAAGTTGTTCTAATCACATTTGCACATTAATTGTTTTCAGACTGTGCTGTCCCAATCGCACCCCATTTTATCCATTTACTCAGGTTGCCTCCTAAACCAGGAAACTCCTCTTGCTTCTTGTTTCTGCCACCATTCTCCCAGCCCTGAGACTCCTCCCTCTTTATAAAATCACGCTTACCTGACCTCAGTTAAAGGGACACTTCTCTGCGGCTCTTCTGGCTTTGTTCCATTTGTCCTGAATCATTTCTCTTTGACCTTTCCATAGCACTGGGGCATTTTATTCTTTCCTACATCTACCTGTCTCTAGTCATATGCTCCTTTTGCATGCCATCTTCTAACATGTATAATCAATAATTTTATTTTCGGCAAATAAACAAAAATAAATGAATCTGAAAGCTGATTTTCCCAAGGAACACCCTTTCATGATTTAAACTGAGAAATGAATTCATAATTCATTATTGCAAATAAAAGGTGGCTATGGATTCTGAAACAATGTCACGTTGAGAACACCCACGGTGGTGATCAGAGGAACTTTAACAAACTGAAGCGTCTGGTTACTCATATTTATAGAATAGTGTCACATGTGTATTCTCCATAAGGTTGCAGTTAATACGGGTAAAGTACCAGGAGGACACCTTGATTTCCCATGGCTATGCACCCTGCATTCTGGTTAAAGTCTGCTTTAGAAATAGCTTTTTACAGAAAACTAGTTAGCTAGCTAACATGGCCCATTTCACTGTTCAGTGTTTCTACATTAGACGGTATTAAAGAAACACAGAAGAGCAACCAAAAATTAGTATATCTCAAACCTAATACTTAAATGAAAAAAATAGGAACTCTTGACACGAGTGAAATGTTAATTTTAGACTCAAAATACAGATAATACAGTAACAGTTCAAAGTAAAATTACTCATGAAATAGAAACCAATCAGGGAGAAAGTTAGGATTTAAGAATATGAAATTCACAATACAAAAATATAAACGTATAGTAAGACAGAAGTCAAATTATGTAAGTAGTAAAAGACAGAACCAATACAAGAAAGGAGTTAAAAAAAAAAAAAAAAAGAAACCTTAGAAAATTCATGTGGGGCAAGGGGAAGATGGAAATTAAAAGGAAACAGACTGATCGTATTTCACAGATTTCTAGATTTGTTTAGTTAGACATTTCAAGCATATCCCTAAGGAGAAGATTGGGAGAAGCGCGTACCACTAATTTAATTTTTCTTCCTTAGGCCACATACCCGGGAGGAAATGGTTGGCTCGCCCTCACAGTGCCGATTGCCGGGTCACATTTCTGACCATAAATGTACAGTAGTTTTAACATTGTCAGAATTCTTGAAAGATTATTTAAATATGTATGTTCCTCAGGCTACGTTTATATTGCTTGAACCAAGGATCCTTAACAATAATCTCAAAGCCATAACTGGAAAATAATCTTTAACCAAAAATGCTTGAATTGTTCATAACAATGCAAAAATTCAACACTGTACTTAAAATCTATGGAAAAGTCTGGATTTGAGGGAGGAAGGAAGACCTAAAACTCTGTGACACTTTCAGTAAGAAGTTTGTTATTCTAGATCAGGATTCGGGGTCATAAGATTTCACTAGATTAACCCCTGTGATCTATTTTAATCGTGTCTGTCAGTTTCATTCCATGTACAGAATCTTTGGAGTCACAGAATTATGATGTTTTCCACAGGGTGTGAAACTGATTGTAGGTGAAATATGAACTCTTAGGATACACAGCATTTAAAATTCCGTTGGAGGAATCCCCAGGGAGAATCAAACTGTACTTAAATCTGTAGTTTATTTAACAAGGGCATTGCAATCCCTGTCTTGAAATTATAATACAGAGCTCTATGATAAAATTGGAATGATACTGGAAAAAGAAAAGAAAAGAAAAGAACAACAAAACCCAGATCTGATTAATAGTGCAACAGATTAGAAGATGCAGACACAACTCCCAACACAGTCAGTCTATCTTTGACAAAGGGGCCTAACACACTCACTGGAAGAAAGATAGCCTCTGTAATAAATGGTACAGGGAGAACTGGCTTCCCACATGCTGAAGACTAAAACTAGACTCATTTACTAAACTGAACTCAAAATGGATCAAAGAGCTACATATTAAAATAGAAACACTAAATCTATTGGATGATAAAATAAGTAGACTTCTTGAAGACACAGATATAGGCAAAGTTATCAGGAACAAAACCCCAATTACACTAGAAATAATACAAAAGTCAATACCTGGTATCTCACTTTATTTAAAAGCCTTTGCACAGCAAAAGAAGTCACCAACAGAGTGAAAAGACAACCCACAGAGTGAGAAAGAATTTTAAACAGTTGTCCCTTTGGCAAAGGAGTTATATCTAGAACATATAAACAATTGAAAATAAATTAGATACTCCAAATCCGAGGACTTAATCCAAAACTGGGCATCTGAGATGAATACACACTTCTCAGATGAAGACATACAAGTGGCAAATAAATATATGAAAAAATGTTCGACATTGTTGGTCATTTGAGAGATGCAAATTAAAACAATACTGACCCCAGAAAGAATGGTTATCAAAAAGTCAAACAATAACAAATGCTGGTGGGGCTGTGGAGAAAAAGGAACATTTCTTCACTGTTGGTTGAGAGCAACTGTTGTAAGCACTGTTGAAATCCGTGAGGAGATTCCTCAAAAAACTAGGATTAAAGATCTCATTTCTCCCAGTTATTTCCCTTGTATCTTTCCAGAAAAAATAAAAAAACATCATACCACAGTGATATATATGTTACTCATGTTTGTATCAGCACAATTTGTAACAGCTAAATCTTTGAAACAGTCCAAATGCCCATCAAACGAGGAAGGGATAAATTGTGTTCTTTTTATATCCTGGAGTACTACTGAGTCCTATAGAAGGACAAACGATATACTTCTGGGTAAATGAATGCAACTTGAGACCATATTCATAACCAAAATAAATCAGACTCACATAAGTAATCATCACTTTGTCTCCCTGATGTGAGAAACTAAACTGCACAATAGGTACTGTGAAATGGGAAGAAAGTATTCAAAAGGAAAAAGAAACTAGTGTAGGAGAGGGGGAAAGAAAAGAAAGGAAAAAGGAAAAAATTAAAGATAGTTATATGACTAATTTCTCTTAGTTTGTTGAAAAGAAAGATTTGTGCTAATACCACTTCGAGAATTTTTATGTCTATCTCTTGTACCTGGGTAATAATACTTCGAAGTAATACACAGTGCATTAACTATTGTCATTCTCCTATTATTTTATTATAAAATTTTTCAAGATAAAATTCTCACAAAAGTATATGAAATTCAGTGCTTACCATCTCCTGTTTCTGCACAGAGCTGTAAGCCCAAATTGTTCTGTGGATTAATCACCCAGTGATTGCTGGTCACAGTGATATCAAAGACCAGCCAGCCCACATCTAAAGCTTGGGCTTTTCTTGTGTCTAACAGGAACAGATCTGCATCCCTAAGGAGAAAAAGAAACAATTTAAAGGTTTGAATGAAGATCATCATTTCCTACACTTAAGTGAAAACATGTCCAAAGCACTCTGTAAAATTACAAAAACTGATTAAAGAACAAGGGGCACACGTGGCTCCAGTGATGATTACCGAAAGACACACAGTGCGGTATTCCTGGTGTCCCAACCCAAACTGCTGTAGATTAGTCATATCTGAAAGTAATTTCTACTCTCCTGCTTCCCACTGGCATTTCCAGAACTAAACTGCTCAGTGGCTTTAGCTGGGTCCCAGTCACTAGTGCTTCCCGAAACCAGCCTGTTTAAGCAGCCCCAAAAGAAAGAATCAAAAAGAGACAGAAATAAAAGAAGCTCCTATGGTTTGCATGAATGCAATCTCAAAAGAAACAAGCACAAGTAGGGTATGAGTCCAATATCTGTTATAAGGATAGTTTCCTAATATTTTCCATTTACACAATAATTATTTTATGGCCACCAGAGGCCAGGAATGGGTCAGAGACAACACCTTGGATTAAGAGGTAGGTTTAGGAGTCAAATGGTACAATCTACCATGACTTGAGCAAGTTTTTTCTGTAAATCTAAGTCACCCGGGGTCAACAATAGCTGTGAATACGAACTTGTATATTGTAATCGGTAGTGTTGTGTTCATTAAGACATATATTTTGCCTTAATTATAGCATGAAATTTACAAATGTATGAATACTCATTGAATTATGATGAATTGTTTTATTGTTTCCTTACCACCGACAGTTTCTGAGCTCGCTGTTATCTATTTTTGACATTTGATCTTTACAGTAGCTCTGCCATATTAAAGAAATGAAAGCTCAGATAAGTCCCACAAAAAATATATGAATTAAAAGTCAGCTAAGTTAACTGTAAAACACTGAATGCCTGTAAGGCGAAATAGAAATAACACTGTGATGCATTTTTATGAACTTTACACTATGCTGGATCTATGTAAAGAGCACACTATTTAGAGAAAGCTCAGAGTCACATCGTAAGTTATGTTGGACACTGCTTTACATTTGCCATCCATCCACGTCACAGAAGTCACTTCAAAGATGGCTTACAAAATGTAAGAAAAAATTTTGAATAAATCACACGTACACATCATTTGTTTGTAGAAACACTCTAAACTATTCTTAACAGAAATGAAAGTAAAAAGATCTAGTCACTGTTTCAAAACTGCCAGCCTCATTTCTTATCTTTGCTTCACTTCTACTGTTTCCCCATTACCCACAGAAATTAAATTAAATTAAATTAAAATAAATGCAGTATGCCCAACTGCATCCCCCGCTGCCCTGTAATGGGCAGTGTGAGTCTCTCTTCTTTCACAATCTGTCATTGTTTACCAGAGGGAGGCTGCAGATGTTTCTTTTCAAGCATGATAAGGAGTCTGTAAGCATACATTACAAAAGAAGGAAAAGATCACTTAGTTGCCACTTGACTGTTAAGGAGCCCTTAGGGTTACTGCAGCCAAACTCTGCTTCCTCTTCTGGTTTTGAAACCCACCAAATAAACAGATACCAAGAAAACGACTCTCCTTAAAGTTTCAAGATATTTGGTAAATATCTCCAAGACTACAATCTTTTTTTTTAATTTTTATTTAGCTGATACACTTCAGGTATACTAGTCTCTGCTTGCTTCTGGGACAGGAGAAGGAGTCACTGGGTCGCATGGGCAGTAACAGAGAAAGCTTAGAATGCTATCACGTGACACATTTTTCCAAACCTTCCCAGAGTGTCTATGAGCAAACAGCACTAGCTGCACTAGGAGTTTTTAAGGCAGACATCAGGTAAAGGACTCAAGCAAGCTCTAAATATCTGGCTTTCTACAATGCAAAATGCAATTCATTTGAAGGTGAGTCTAGGAAGCAATATGGCATTTTAAATCCATGTATTCCTGCCTCCCCTCTCACAATTATGAAAGTTCTATTGATTTCTCATCTGTCATAATTTCCAGTTCTTAGGTAAAATGTTTTTGGTTGATAACTGCTCCTCTCTCCCTTCATATAGAAAACCTCTTCTATATCCCCTATACTTACTAGTACAAGCTTTAGGAGTGTCAAGTGTGTTAAAAGCAAACACAATGACAATAATGCTCCTGTCGTCTATCATGTAGTGCCTTTTATAACATTTAAAATTAAATCCCCATCCATTCAGACGATGGTAGATGTGACTTCTTTTGAAATATTAAACTTCCCTGTCAAAATATTGAACTCATATAACTCAAAAGAGTAAAAATACACTAAGCATTACCCATGAACAGTGAAAAATAAATCTGTTAAACTTGTTCTGTCACTATTCTAATAAGACAAAGTGTTACATATTAATTCATTTAGAATACATGCAGTACAGAGGAAATATATGATGAAAATATATTTGAGCAGAAATGATTCTACATTCATTTGTAATCTATGCATCTGAAGTAGAAAAGCCAAAGTTGAAGTCCTCATTCCAGCAGAGAAAATAAAATCAATTTATATGAACTAATGGAAGTAAATATTTCAGGTTGGCAGCCGTATTACTTTCCTAATGCTGCAGAACAAAGCACTGCACAGAATGTATTTTAAACAGCAACTCTGCTTCGTAGGTCTGGAAGACCAGATGTTGAAGACTGAAGTGTTGGTAGGGTTGGTTTCTTCTAAAGTCAGGGAGCAAATCCATGCCAAGCCTCTCTTCTTGGCTACACAGACAGGGCTGTTCTCTCTAGGTCTCTTCCTGTGGCCTGTGGCCTGCCCTCTATGAGCACGTCTTTGTCTGAGCCACTCTCTCTATCAGGAAACCAGCACACTACGTTAGGACCTGTTCCACAGACCCGTCTTTAACTTTATTATCTCTGCAAATACTCTGTTTCCAATAAGGTCATATGTGAGTTACTGAAGACTAAGACTTCAACATTTAAATTTGAGGGGAAGGACTCACCACTCAACTCATCATAACACTGTTTAAAGGTTTATTTTTTAAAGCAGGAAAAATTCTAAATGTGAATATGCGTGCAGTCTTCTTTGATATCATGTTGTTTGCTGACACTGAAATATTTTAAAAAACAAATATGCGAAAACAATTATATTGATGTAAATTCATAATTCTAAAGTTTGTAGTTTTACTCCAGGTAAACTTACAGTATTTACCTTGACTATGGAAATAACTCAGCATAATAATTGCCTTACAGCTAATTAAATCAAATGTTTGAATATAGATTCATGGTTAACATTTGAAACATTTTCAATATCAAAATAGACTTACTGAATATGAAATATATAGGTATAGTTAAGAATAGATACTCAAAGATGAAAATCAATCTGTGGAGTGTTTGTATGTGTAAATAGTCAATAGAGAAATCATTGAGAGGAACAGACTTTGTGAGTGGAGGTTTAAATATATTTACTATGTGAAAAATTGCATATACATCCTTGAAGGGATGCTTTGTATTCTATTGAAAGAGAAAAGCATTTTTCAAACAAGCTTTAGGCATGTAAGAAGGTCAAAAGTGTGGGTAGGTTACAAGACTGAGAAGCAGGAGGTACAGTTTTAAAACTCATCTGAAAGTACAAATGCTAGAATGGAAAAATCAAGGCCATATATCTAATAAAACAAGAGGGCTAAAAACTTAACTTTTACCATGTTTAAATCATATTTCAATGATATAGCAAAGATTTGGTAATCAAACAAAGCTTGAATATTTAAGGGATTCCTTAGCACCAGTTTCCCCATGTATCAAAATATGTATGATAACAAAATGTTATTATAATAACCTCTGCTTTAAAAATTTTGTCAAGCTATAATATAATGTATTTGTGCTGTTATATTTTACCTATACAGACTGTAATACCACTATATTGTTTTATATATAAGAGGAGGGTCCACTTACATTTGAACAAGATTTGCCATAACACAATTGTCTCTAAATTGTTTCATTTTGACCTATATTCTTTGAAAAAAATATTATTTGCCGAGCCACATTACCTTCAAATGACCCAAAACAATGTTAAGTTTTGGCTTCTTATAGATACCTGCTGGAATTTATAAGAAGAAAAGAAGGGAGAGCAGAAGAAAAGGGGAAATAAGAAGGAGGAGATAAATAAAAAGAAATTTAGTTACTATTCCTGGGAAAACTGATTATCTGTGTAATTAATTTATCCTTTATAAAATTCATTAGATGAACATCAGAGATTGCATTTATAGTATATAATCTACTTCCATCTAAACAAATGCTAAAACATCAACAAAAACTTGTAAACATTGATCCTTTCATGATAGTATTTCCACTGACAGCAACATACACTGAATCAAAAAATCCTGTTTTTCAAACTACATAGATAAAGTTCTACAAAAAATAAAATTTCATAACAAAATAGCAATGGTAAATTAACAATGGTTAATACATTTTGCAGCTTGATCTTTTAAAAATGGCTAAAGTGTTACTCAGAGTACAAATCATAAACAAAAAAAATGGTTCTGGTACAAAGAAGAAACAAAAGGACAAAAGTTTCTTTTCAGTGAACTAAAGAAGCAAACAGGATATATAATGCAACAAATTAGCAATGATCTTAAAATATTTTGAAATAAGAGATAATTTCCAGAGTTATTTGAACTTCTCCCTACTTCCTATTTACCTATCTTCTTTTTGCTCTCTCTCTCTCTCTCTTTCTTTCTTAATATTAGTTTTTAAATAAGAGAAACCATGAGATATTGAAGCCTGTCTGTATGACTTACTTCACTTAATATCATGTTCCCAAGTTGCATCCATTTGCCCAAGAATGCCTCAAATATCACATCTTCTTTATCAGTTCATCTGTTGATGGGCATATACAGTGGATTGGACCCCTCAACTGGCAGGGATTACATTTCTAGAGCACACACTGTAAAAAGCTTCAGATTTCAGATATACTCAGAAAATGGCTATAAATGCCTATTTTATAACTTAAACCCTAAATATGCTGTCTCCCACAGTTACGTAATTAAATTTAATAAAATAATAAAACTTT